CGTCTGTCTGTCTGTCTGTCTGTCTGTCTGTCTGTCTGTCTGTCTGTCTGTCTGTCTGTCTGTCTAATTCTTCATCTTCTATTAGATGCACACATGCACAAACACCTGGTGACAGCAGTAAGTTTAATAATAATAATTTTGCTTGTCTTTGCTATAGACGGCTGTAATGCTGTGTTCATTCAACCTTTATTTAAACAGATAAATCACAATGAGCCTCAAAGACTCATTTACAAGTGAGATCTGTTTAGACAGACACAAAGTAGTGAAACTGGACACGTAGGAATTGGAGGCAAAAAAAAAAAAATCCTATCAAACTCTTTCTTCTTGCCTGAGAAAAAAAACCTCAAATATAAAAAAAAAAACACCTCACACATACAAGCACATAGTGACGTAGACAACGAGTGGTGAGATGTCCAAGGACGTACTCTAGGGCACTGTAGGAGTTCGGATAAGGATGGAATAATCAACCAGTTCCTGGTGAGATCTGTAAACTTTCTCGAGGAATGTTGGGGAATGGCCAAAGACAATGCCTATGGGAATCCAAGAGTCCTGAAATGATGACACGATGTTTATTCAGCTGGTTTCCTCTGATTATCAGTTAGAAATTCCTCGATGGGCAGGAGGGGGGCAGAGCATCAGATCACATGTTCTCCAGGCAAATTCAGATGAGATGGCCTTCAAGGCCAGTCAGGGGATCCAAATTCAGATAAACACACAGTTGTTTTGGGGACAGACAGAGCTATAATGACGTCTACCTTGAGTCTGTGTTGGTCCATATGGTTCCAAAATGTCCAAATTACATGGCAACACCAATGGACCATGCCTGAGAATAATCCCCGAGATCTGATCTATTCTGCCAAAAGCATCTGAGTCTGGGTACTCGAGGCACGAACCAAACCATCATAAAGGCAAGCAGCGTGATCGGGTCCCAATTTGCTGCAGAGGACTTCCTTGATTGTTGATAAAACCAGCAACCAGCTGAATCCAAAAAGCAGGAACCAGCTATCGTAAATCCAATTAAATATGTGTCCTTAAAATCCACAAATGGCAGCAGAGATAGACACATCATCAAGTCTTCCAAGTTGATGAGATATCCAGCTGCATGCATGCCAACAGGGCAAATCGGCTCGCCTAAAGCCTGTCTTCTCTTCAAAGAAATGTTATCAGTTGTGTTGAGGGACCAACTGATCAAATCAAGTCCATAATTATGATTCGGAAGACATGCAAGAGAGGCTCAGAAGCAATTTCACAGACAGAGCAGCAAAGCAGAGAGGGAGAGGAGGGGGAAAGCGTCGGACCTCGGCGAGAGCAAGTGGTGAAGTATGTAATGGTTTGTGAGCGGGCGTATGATGTGGTGTATAAAATATTCTCAGTTGTTCTCAGTTGTTAGATTCAACTTTGCAGGTAAAAGAAACATTTAGATGTTTTTCACGAGTCTAACACCACCATATGTGCAACTCTATTGACATGTTTTCTGTAGTTCCAGAGCTGGTAACTCGAGGGGTCATCCATCAGATGTTTCCTCTTCATGAACAAAGAATACTCAACCAGCTGATGACGTCTTGGGTCCAAGCTGTGTGTGAAAGGCAACCCCTCGGTAAGAAATGTTGCTGTTTCTTTTCCAGAGACATGATGAGGTGAATGTCTGAGGAAAGTCTGAATGATGCCAGTGCCACTTCCGCACAAAATACAAAACATACATCATTTTTCTTCTTTAACGCCTAATAATAATTTTTAATGTCCTTTAATAATCAAAATTTAACCCAACAAAACGCAGTCATTTTAAAGTATAAACTGTATAAGAAGTATAAAAAACAAGTTTAAAAGCTGCTGCCAGTAGCTCACTGGTGTCACCGTGGTTAACACACACCTGTGTGATTCCTTACAGCATTCTTAATAAATCAAACGGACAGAAACACAGTAGAAATAAAGCTTTTTTTTAAATAAATAGTTGCTGTTAATAAAATAAAATTTGCATTGATTAAAAAAAAATCCTAAACTGTAAGTAGCAGAATTTTCTGATCCTCACACGTTAAATTTTATGTATCTACAGAGTTTTTTTTGTGGGAAATATTAAAAGTTAAAGAGCCTTAACTTCTAGCTTAGAAGAAAAGAGGCTAAGCTCCGATCCAATGGAAGTTAATGCAAGTTTGGATGTGTGCTTTCTCTGCACTCTGAGGGGATTTTAGACAACACCTTAAGTCCAAACAAGATTAAAAGCAAAAACCACTGGACTTTGTAACTGAAGACGTTGTACTTCTCATCGGAGGAGCTTTCTCACTTCAAAGAAGCAAGGAGTGTGGGACTCAAGTTATGAAGTTGAGGTAAGTTTGCATATGGGGGCCGAGATGGGGTAGAGGCAGGGCAGCCGACTCAGGACCCAAAAGTCCCAGATTCGATCCCTAGTCATTGCACATCTCGTGGTGTCTCTGAGCAGGACACCCTATCCCCAATTGCTCCCTGGGCACCTTCAATAACTGCCCACTGCTCCACCTGGTGGTGGATAGGTTAAATGCAGAGAGCCAATTTCGCCATTGTATGGGAACATACAATGATGACAACACAACACATTATTATTATTATATTGCAGATGAGACACTTAGTGAACAAAAACAAAAATATCTCTGCAGGTCTCGTGTAAAAAAGAGTCCCTGTGACTCAATGAGACTAACCTGTATAAATAAATCTTGAATGAAAAATCTACAATGTACGTTTTGATGTTTAAACATGAGCGATATGCCCACATGGGTTATGCCCCACCAGAAATAAAAAAAAAAATGCATTTTTTAAATCCAGTTCTTCATTTAGTTCATTGGATAATCCTGTACAGTAGTCCCTTGATACTTTGCAGTTTGACTTTTACGGGCTCACTCTTTTGCGGGTTTTCAATGTAAGTTTGTACATGACAAAGACTGGCGATGGGGAAGACACCCCCCACCCCCCGATGGGGCTGGGGGGCGACTGTCTTTCCCCATTGCTACTGCTCAGGGAGCAGGGATGAACAAATCAAATGAACAAATGTAAAATATCAGAGAAAATACTTAGGTGGAAAAATAAGAATGAATCAGTTTAAAAAAAGAGCGAGTGACTGAGAATGTTTATGGATCTCACCAGAGGGAACTGGCTAATTATTCCATCCTTACCAGAACTCCTCCAGTGCCTCCGGGAGCGTCCTTGGACATTATTACTGCCCTTGTCGTCTCCCCCCTGTGGAATGTTTACGTCAACATATGCTTGTCTATGTGCGGGGTGTTTTTTCAAAATCGAGGTCTTCTCAGCCAAGGAGGAAGGGTTTGTTAGGAAGGAGTTTTTTGCCTCCAAATCCTATACATGTGTCACTTTCACTACTTCTTGTCTGTCTAAACAGGTCTCACTTGTAAATGAGTCTTCGAGGCTCAATGTGATTTATCCGTCTAAATAAAGGTTGAATGAATGAAAAGATGGTAGCTTCTATGGCAGATACTGCTATGCTCATTAGGCTGAATCATGCTACAGTTGATTATGTTTAGTGAGGAGTTGAACCCAAGGTACCTACCTGTCTCTCTAATTACTCTTGCTGTTGTAGTCTCAGTCATTTGGAAGCTCTTTCTTATCACCCAGTGCCTTTAACAGCTCCTCTTTGAATTTCTCACATTCTTATTTTCTCAGCTTCCACCATTTGGTCTTCTTCTCTGATTTTACTCTTTTTCTCTTCTTCACAACAACAGTCATTCTACACACAACCATCCAATGTTGTCTGGCCACGCTGTCACCTGCCACAACCTCACAGTCTCCATTCTCCCTAGTCAACCTGCATACTCCTTCCTCCACTCTTATAGATCATTCTATGTTCCTCCCTCTTTTGGAAATAAGTGTTGACTGCAGCCATTTCCATTCTCTTGGTTAAATCCACCAGCATCTGTCCTTCCTGGTTTCTTTCCTTGACACCAAACCTACCCATCACTTCCTCATCCCCTCTGTTTCCTTCACCAACATGTCCATTCAGGTCTGCTCTGATCACCACTCTCTTCTCCCTGGGAATACTCTCTATCATTTCATCCAGATCTTTCCAAAATGTATCTTTCTCCTCCTCATCACATCCAACCTGTGGAGCATAACCACTGACGATGTTTAGCATCAGACCTTCTACTTCTACCTTCAGGCACATCATCCTATCTGACACTCTCTTCACCTCTACTACATTCTTTGCCAACTCCTCCTTCAGGACCACCCCTACTCCATTTCTCTTTCTAACCACACCATGGTAAAACAGTTTGAACCCTGCTCCAATGCTGAGAGCCTTGCTGCCCTTCCACTTGGTCTCTTGAACACATAACACCTACCTTCCTTCTCAGCATCATGTCAGCCAGCTCTCTGCCTTTGCCTGTCATTGTTTCCACATTTAGAGTTGCCACCCTCAGTCCTACATTCTTCACTTTCCTCTTCTCCCTCTGTATCCTGACACGTTTCCCTCCTCATGGTCTTTGACTAACAGTAGCACAATTTCTGCCAGCATCCTGGTTGTCAACAACACCGGTGGCGGTCGTTGTTAACCCGGGCCTCGACCGATCTGATATGCTTTTGCTTTGATGGACTCGCGTTATGGTTTTGACAAAAGTGTTTTACGTCAGATGCCCTTCCTGACACAACCCTCACAATTTATCCAGGCTTGGGACTGGCACAAGAGATACACTGGTTTGTGCTCCCTAGTTGCTGTTTTTTGGTAAACCTGATGATTCTTTTCACCAAGACCACAAAATTCATATATTTGCAATCTGTTTTATAGATGACATCTGTGACTACTTTGGAGTGAAGATCGGCATGTATTTTGCCTGGCTAGGTTTCTACACCAACTCCATGCTCTACCCTGCTGTTATTGGCTTTCTGCTCTGGATACTGGCAGAGGCTGACCAGGTAACTAAAATGTTTTTACATTTCTTTTAATGTTTCCCACCAATAAAAATGAACGTCTTAACTATTTGCAATTTCCAAATAATTATGCATTTTGAAGAGAAATTCACTAGTAACATGTCTGTGAGGAGCAGGCATGCACGGTATTTCACTGGCCTGTAAATGTTGGAGACTAACTAAAGACACTAAATGGCAAGAAAAATAGGCAAACCTATTAGTTGCAGTCTCACTTTATTATGAGTGTTGGTGATCAAGAGACCAGTGTTTTATTTTGAAAATCATGGCCTTTTTAAAATGTTATTTTAGCCCAAAATACAGGAATTACAACAAGAATACAAGAAAATAACGTGCATGGCCTAAAATGTTTAGATCATGCATGTCACTCTCCTCTGCCTGCTTTGTACCCAGCCCCAGTAGCTGCCCCACATCTTTGATTTAATGGTAAATGATCCATGGACTGTACTTTCTATCTTATCAAGATACTCAAAGCTCCTTACAATCTGTGTCCTCATTTACCCATTCATGCATCGCTCTACTACGTAGACCTCTACAAAGACTAATCAGAGCTTTATCACATTCATACACTAATGGGGCACATCGGAGGCAATGAGGGGTTCAGTGTCTTGCCCAGGGACACTTGGGCATGTGACTGCTCGTAGAATCTAACCCCCAACTCTTCATTGGAGGACAACTGCTCTAACCACTCAGCCACAGCCGCCCTTTAATCTTCTGGAGTACACTTTAGAAATGAAGACATGCAGATTAGGATCAAATCTTAAGGTGATTCTTCGTTTTCCAGGTGTGGTTTTTAGATCTAGACCTTCAGGCTGTAGCTCCTGTTGTTTTCTGTCGACATACTGCTCCTGTGATCTGGAATTAGGGAAACTAAACTGAGACAGGTTAGAGACGACTCTGAGGATTTCGAGAGAAAACTGTTTACATGCATTTTTAAAACACTTAAAATTTAAGTGGTAGAACTGCAACTGGGGAAGGGCAGTGACTCACAAGAGAAAACTGACGATGCTGCAAATGTTTCGAGACATTTTGGAGATTCCTTCACCAACAATTACAGCTCTGTGAGATAAAGCCTTTAAGTAGAGCTTTGAGCTGTAGATCGGTCTCAGGTGGATGGATGAGCAAACGTTTGAGTGCTTGACCTGACATACTAAATTCTGTTCACAATGAAACCAGTGGGTTACCCTTAACCAGTGGTTCTCAAACTTTTCAGGCCACTTTTGTGGGCCACTCTGTTATGGTATGTTGTTCATTTGTCATATGCAGGTTAACACAAGGTCAGCACAGCAAGGAAATGTTCAGGGTGAGAACTGATTTGACTCGCTAAAAAACAAAATAAATACTAAAGTATGCAATAAAGGTACAAAATAAAGTACCAAAAAGTGAAAAAGAAATATGACATTTACAAGATCCAAAAGAAATATAGTAAAAACAACATGTTAGAATATAACGGTGCAAGCAGGATGAATTTGTATGAATAATTAATTCAAGGTAGTAATATTAGCTTAAATGCACATGATATACAAAGTATATTGCACATAGCATGAACTACACAGGTTGTGTGACAGGTTATTGCACAGGCAGTGAGTGACAATGCCTTTTCATAAAGATCTTTTTCCTCATAAACATGGGATCATTTCTAGAAATGTTTTCATCCTCACAAATACGCCTCAAATGCTGCAGTTACTCCTCTAGACCTTTGTGGGGTGCTGTAACATTGCTACTTAAACATATCAGAAACATGGAAAGAAGGTATGGAGCAAACCTGTAAACACAAAAAAAGACAAGTTTGGAAAAACAAAAGAAAAATAATTTATTTTTGTAGACTGACAAAGTGAAAATCCTACTATGTGCCACGTTAAACTACTGTTGAATGGAAGTTGTGCAGCACAACGTGCAAACATACTGAACATTTTAATGCTCAGTATAAAACAAAAGAGGGTTGGTTAGTTGGATTCTGCTTAAATAAAAGTCAGAATAGAAAATAAGTTGGGAACAGATAAAAACTTCTACAAAATGTACAGAACTTTTCCTTTTGCCTCAAGATTCAGTAAAAAAAATAATGTTTTCATCTATTTATTTGACTTTTTTGTTGTTATTTTGAGAATGTTAAGATGGATAAAGCCCAACATTCAGCCCTCGAGCTGTATTGTGGTCCTGTATTTATGGCGATGATAAATTTTCCAAATGTAAATTAGTTGTGTATGCTTTGAGGATCACAGAGGGGTTTTTATAGGATTAGTAATTTGAATGGGACTAAAAAGCCTCTGAAAAGAGTAACAATTAATCCTTTCATCTAAATATTGTTTTTTAGTTGTGTTTGAAATGGTAGTTTGTTTCATTGTTGCTTTTTAAACTGGTTTTGTGACTCTGAATGGTATTAACTGAAGCAATATGATTTTTTTCCCCCAATCCTGCACAGACCAGTCAGGATATCTGCTGTGTAGTTTTTGCCCTCTTCAATGTCGTTTGGGCGACTTTGTTTCTGGAGCGCTGGAAGAGGCGAGAAGCAGAACTGGCCTACAAGTGGGGCACTCTGGATACCCCTGCCGAGTCCTTGGAGGAGCCCAGACCTCAGTTCAGGGTGAGAATCACTCCCAAAACTTGTCTTTTAAAATAACATGATACAAACTTGGAAGTTCAGAAGTGGATGAACTGTTTGTTGGTGGTGAGACGAGAAGTTTTATTTATTTCATTGCAGTGTATTTCTCCTGACAGCCGCTCACCCCGTGCACTACTTGTAGAGATAAGTTACACTACGCTGAACCCACACCGTACTGTGGAATGTCTTTCCCACCTCCTTCTGTTGTGCAGAAAAGAGAAAAGGAAAGGCAGACCTTTATAAAAAGCTTGAAGGTGGCAGTGTCTGTAGACCTGGCTAGCTCAGTCAGTATATAATAAAACTCTTAATCTCAGGGTTGTGGGTTCGAGCCCCACATTGGGAGTAAGTTTTTTTTTTCTCTCCATCTCCAGAGGGAAACTTCTGGAAACTGTTTCACATCTACTGACAACAGATCAAGTCAGCATGGACTTAAGTAGGCCTCTTATGTATGTTTTGTGTTTTTACTCTTTGTTCATAAGGAAGTCATTTTGAAAACTGCCATTATATGAACCTTATTGTGGAAATACAAACAAATATAAACTGTCGCAGCAGATTTGTGCAACACTTTCCTTCAGTTTGCTGCGCTCACAATCTCAGCTTCTTCACACCCCGTTTGCCTCTCAGAGGCTTTTCAGATCTGTTGATTAGCTGCACTGCAGAACCACCTGACTGAACTCACATGACACATAAGTAGCAGAGGAGTTGTCTTAAGATAATAAAACATCTACACTGTGGGTTTTTACAGGTTCAGATCTTCAGTCTTTGCTCCGACACGGAGCTCTGTGAAGTCACAAACCATTGCATATGTGCCTCTATTTCTTTTACTGCATGTTTAAGGTAGTTAAGCTTATCCAGGGAACATTGTACAAACTTGTGATTAACTGTGTTAAACTAATATAGTTCAAATGTCTTAGTGTATTGTTGATTTTCTAGAACCAACAGCAGACCTACTGATGTTCTGTTTGTTGCTCACTGACTGCCTATGTATGCTGTAGTTGTGTGTATGTGTGTGTGTGTGTGTGTGTGTGTGCGTGCGTGCGTGCGTGTGTGTGTGTGTGTGTGTGTGTCTGCATACAGTGGTGGGTAATAGGGGTGTAAATCACCAGCTTTACCATGATACGACATTATATTGATTTGTTTGATGATACGATTTTTCTCGATATCACAAAGTCTGTCACGATATGATTTTGATTCTATTCGATTCACAAGTCTGCGATCGATATATTGTGATATCAAATGCCCATCTCATTTACATATAAATAAATTTACAAAAACAATTCAAACATCCATCCATTTTCTTTACCCGCTTCTTCCATTTTGGGTCACGGGGGTCGCCGGTGCCCATGTCCAGCAATCACTGTGCGAGGGGCGAGGGACACCCTGGACAGGTCTCCAGTCCATCACAGGGACACATAGAGACAAACAACCATTCACTCTCTCACTCACACCTAGAGACAATTTAGAGTTACCAATCAGCCTAACATGCATGTTTTTGGTCTGTGGGAGGAAACTGGAGTACCCCGAGGAAACCCACGCATGCACAGAGAGAACATGTAAACTCCACCCAGAAAGGCCCCCGGACCGGGATTTGAACCAGGGACCTGCTCGCTGAGAGGCAGCAGCTCTACCAGTTGCGCCACTATGCTGCCCCATTAAGATAGTCAAATGGCCAAAACCTCCTGGATGGAGGTCACAGAAACACTGAATGGAGGAGTCTGTCTGCTGAAAAGTGTTGCGCTCTCTTTGTGACAGAAAACGGCAGATGTAGGAACGGAGTGGAGACTCTGGTGAAAAGAAACCCTGTGGAGAGGTACATGGTAGCAGGAGGGGTTTCCCAGGAGCCCTGTACTGAATGTCTCATGGACCATGAGGGTGTGTGTGAAAACGAACATCTCTCAACCATGTGAGCGTGTATCAGCTGTTCGGCTTTGGATGGAGTATACACCTTTACACTCAGCAAGACGTCAAGATGTTTGTTCTCATTGTTGCAGTCGTGTGATGGAAATGTCTTTTTGTTCTCGCATGGCTCTGGGGACCCGTTCTGTGCACCAGCTCCCAGAAGAACGTTTCACTTGCAATGTATGTGCCAAGTATCATGTGGTCAGGATTTTGTGGGTGTTTATGCAGAAAAATGGCTGAACTATACACTGCTCTCATTTCACTAGTGAGACGAGGGCATTAGAAAATATAGTCATCTTTACAACTGTTCCATCAAAACCTATAAAGATAAAGTGGGAGGGATAACCAGGACTTCTCCCCCACAGTTTCTCTTTCAGTATAAAATGTCTTTTCAAAAAAGAACACCTCGCATCCACATCAGCAAGAACAAAAGTCTTGTGCCTTGTCAATCCATCCATCCATTTTCTTTACCCGCTTGTTCCATTTTGGGTCACGGGGGTCGCCGGTGCCCATGCCCACTGTGCGAGGGGCGGGGTACACCCTGGACGGGTCGCAAGTCCATCACAGGGACACATAGAGACAAACGAGACAAACAATCATTCACTCTCTCACTCACACCTAGAGACAATTTAGAGTTACCAATCAGACTAACATGCATGTTTTTGGTCTGTGGGAGGAAACCGGAGTACCCGGAGAAAACCCACGCATGCACGGAGAGAACATGCAAACTCCACCCAGGAAGGCCCCTGGACCGGGGTTTGAACCAGGGACCTGCTCGCTGAGAGGCAGCAGCTCTACCAGTTGCGCCACCGTGCTGCCCGTGCCTTGTCAAGTATTCAGCAAGTTTTAGAACTGACCACTTGCAGTTGAATCACCCAAAATGGACTTGTAAGACATCTGAACAGCCTCTTGTTGTCTTGTCACTGCAGGGGGTGAAGCGCTGCAGTCCCATAACGGGCTGTGAGGAGTTCTATTACCCTCCGTGGAAGAGAGCTGTGTTCAGATGGCTGGTCAGCCTGCCCGTCTGCCTCCTCTGTCTTTGTTTCGTCTTCTTTGCTATGCTCCTCTGCCTGCAACTACAGGTTTGGGCCTGATGGCAAATGGCGTTAATAAGTCAGTAATAACAATTAAAAAGTTTATAGCTAGGAGAACACTCCCTTAAGTTATTATCATTGTGTTATGAATAGCTTTGAGATCTGAGGTATAAATGAATAAAAATTGTTGTTTAAAAACGTGTCTGTCTTGTAACTGGTCTGGCAGGAGGTGGTGATGGAGATTCAGGAGCTGCCTGGTTTTACAAGATTCATCCCCAAGATCCTCCTGGCTGTCACTGTAACTGTGTGTGATGAGGTGTATAAGAAGATCGCCTACTGGCTCAACGACTTGGGTAGGAGACAAAATGTCAAATATTTTGTGTTTAAGTACATTTTTATCTCTTTCATGTATTATGTTCGAGTGATCTGAGGTCCCAGTCACTTGATAACATCAAACTATGAACAAAGGTTTTGTGTTGTTTCAGCCTCGTGTCTAGACAAAAACTGAATTTTAGAAGCTCTAAATGGTTATTTTTGGAAAACGGGTTCCAGGATGAAAATAACCTATAAATGCTTCCCTCTCATCTTTGTGTTGACAGCCTCAGATCACCCTCTTGAAAACTATGATATCATAGTCTCACCGAACCTTTGACCCAAGTATGATCAATGCAGCAGTACTCACGGATCACGTTTGTGTTTGTGATGCAGATGCCAGTTGCTCAACTACAGCAAAACCTTTGTATGCTGCTTTATTTCAATGAACAGACAGCCTTTTGTTATTTCTAGTTTTTAGCTAGTTGTTTATTACTTTTAGCTTTTAACGATCATTCTGCAACATTTAGCCTGCCTTTTGCTATTTTTATTATACGCCCATTGAAATGATGGCATGTAGATAAATCTCTATCGCGTTTCTGTTTGATAGAACATGTGCAGGCAGAGGCGAAGAACTCGGGGGTAAAAGAAATAAATGTATTTATTAAACAAAGCAAAAGGCTGACGAGGCAGCAAAACTTACAAACTCATCAGGGAGACACGGAGGGAGGCAGAAACTGGACACCATAAAGGACAATGCACAGACAATGAGGAACACCTGGGAAAAGACAACCAGGAGCAGGTGGGAGCAGCAGGAGCTGGAGCAGAACACAAGGGGGAGACGCACTAGGGAACACAAATCCTGACAAAGTCAGATCCTCTGGACGGATTCTTCTTGTTGAAACGTTTCGTCTTTTATCCGAAAGACTTCTTCAGTCTGAGGAGCTCAGACTGTGAGTCTGAGTCTGAACATTTCAATAAAGAAGAATCCGTCCAGAGGACCTGATTTAACCTGGCTAGTATTATGGTATAGTTGCCATCCGTATGTATGTAAACTTTCTCTTGTCATCTCATAACTTCTGATCTGCTCAAGATAATTTATTAAAACTTGATACACCTATGCATCATCACTAGAAGGAGTGTCATATACACCTTTCATCACTCCAGCTCCTGGCTCAATGGACTGTACTTATATACTGTAGCACCTTCCTATCTCATCAAGACACTCAAGGCTCTTTACAACACAATCTGTGCCTCATTCCCATTCATACAGCACTCTACTAGATCTGTACAAAGACTAATCAGAGCTTTATCACATTCATACACCGATGGGACACACATCTAAGGCAATGAGGTGTTCGGTGTCTTGCCCAGAGACACTTCAACATGTGACTGCTGGTGGAATCGAACCCCCAACTCTCCCATTGGAGGACGACTGCTCTAACCACTCAGCCACAACCACCCTTGTGTCAAGGTCAAAGTTAAAACAAGGTCTTTGCTTGTCCAGACCATAGCTTCTGATCAACTCAAGATAATGTAGTAATACTTGATTTACGTTTGTACCACCATGAGACAGTGTGTTACATAATGTTTTTATCATCTCAGCTCGAAGGCCAAGGACACAAACCAGAGCCAAAGGTTATACAAGGTCTTTACTTGTCTGAGCCATTGCTGCTGTATATTAGTTATTAATGGTGTATAACTGCAGTACGCTTGTTAGCTTTTAGGATTCAAAGGATTTTTATCATTTATTTACTATTTTCTCAGAACATGCTAGAGAATCAAAATGCCTTTTCTCTCTTACCTAAATAATAAAAAACAACAAAATTCATCCATCCATCCATCCATTATCTTTACCCGTTTATTCCATTTTGGGTCACGGGGGTCGCTGGTGCCCATGTCCAGCAATCACTGTGCGAGGGGCGGGGTACACCCTGGAC